GACTCTAGACAACATTTCAATGCTGTGGCTGACGTGTACTATAGTAATGTTTAGGCACAACAACAAAAAAGAACTAGTTTTGTTGTTGGTCTCAGTCTGCAGTGATCTGAAGCTTGGCAGCCGTCTCACCCAGGTGTCACGCCATCCACCATCCCCTCCTCATCCCAGTAACAAAGTCAGCTCATCAACAATTAGAAATACATCACGTTAGAAACACTGATATGTTTGAAATGCACAAATGTAACATATCTGTGGAAATGCAGAAATGAGAAATGCACAGCTCGAACATTTTCTTCTGGCAACTAGACAAATACGTGCATTTCCCCACAATGCTCAACTATTGCTTAAACTCTATTCAGCCAGAAATATGAGACGCATGCTCAGGTGCACTGAGGTGTGAAGAGAAGCCAACAGGTGCTTTCAAAGATTTCTTGTCCCATTCTTCAGGATGTAAACATCATGTGCCCCTGAGCAGAAACTCGGCTCAGATGTTGGCAGAGAAAGCCACACAGAGAATTTGATGTTGTGACCTGGGCGCAGACCAGGTGTAGCCCACAGCAGATAAGTTGTGGAAAAAAACAAACAGAATGTCCTGACAAAACAGAGCAAACAGAGAGCAAAGCGCTGAACAGCCTGTACTGTTGTCAAGAAAAGATGGATGAAAATGACTGCTCTCTACAAAAACAATGTTGAGCGACGGGCTCTGCTGAGTGCAAAGTGATTTGATTACTCTTTTGTTGTAACTGCTGAACAGAACGCCAACAGTAATCAAGAGCTCTGGCATAACAGTTTGACATAGTTGAAAAGGTACTCTGCTTCCAGCCCCATCACCAGGAAAAAAATGTTGCAGCAGTAAATTTCTGCAAACCACAGGTACAATACATTTGAATTATTATTTCAATAACTCAAAAAAACCAATGTGGTTAGGTTTAGGCACAAAACTACATTTTATTTTAAGCCAAAACATGATCTTTTTCTATTTGGAAACATCATGTTTTGGCTATGAAATTTTTGAAATTTTTTTTTTTTTAGGAAATTCCTAACCATACCCAGGGTTAGGAATTTCCTAAATAAAACATTTCCAAAATTTCATAGCCAAAACATGATGTTTCCAAATAGAAAAATATCATGTTTTGGCTTAAAATACCTGGTTGTCAGAGCACAGTCTTCGCTGATGAAGCGACAATGACTTGGTAAAAAACAACCACTTTTCATGGCACTAGCTTGCCGGTAAAGCAGCAACAGGTTGCTAAGAACAACCCACGTTTGGGGGCTAGAAAGCTAACGGAAACACCGTGACAGGTCCCTAAAAAGCACCCATGTTTGGGGGCTAAAAAGCCACAGGAAACACAGCACTGGGTCACCAAAAAGCAACCACGTTTAGGGGCCAAAAAGCTGCAAGAAATGCGGCAACTGGCTCCTAAAATAACCCATGTCTGGGGGTTAAAAAGTCGCAGGAAATGCAGCAACAAGCTGCTAAAAAACAAACATGTTTAGGGGCTGAAAAGTTGCTGGAAATGCAGCAATGAACCCAAAAAAAGCATGCATGTTTGAGGAATAAAAAGCTGCAATACACAGCACTGGGTCACCAAAAATCACTGACATTTAGGTGTCAAAAAGCTGCAAGAAATGCAGCAACTGGCTCCTAAAAAAATCCACATCTAGGGGCTAAAATGCCGCAGGAACAAACAAACAAAAAACAAAAAACAAAAAAACAAACATGTTTGGGAGCTAGATATTTCCAGGAAACACAGCAACAGGTTGCTAAAAACCACCCAAGTTTGGGGGCTAAAAAGCTGTAGGAAATGCAGCGACAAGCCCCTAAAAACAAACATGTTTAGGGGTCAAAAAGCTGCTGGAAACGCAGCAACTAACTCCAAGAAAGCATCCATGTTTGAGCGCTAGAAAGTTGTAGGAAACACGACAGGTCACTAAAAAGCACCCATATTTGGGGGCTAAAAAGCTGCTGGAAAAAGAGCAACTGGTCACTAAGAAGCACCCACGTTTGGGGTCTAAAAGGCCACAGTAAATGCACTGACAGGCCCCTTACAAACACCCATATTTGGGGGCTGGAAAAGGAGCCACTGGTTGCAAACAACACCCACGTTTAGCGCCAAAAAGTTGCAGAAAATGCGGCGACCTGCCTCTAAAATGAACCCACCTTTGGGGGCTAAAAAGCAGCAGGAAATGAAGCAACGGGCTCCAAAAAAACACCCGTGTTTGAGGGTTAAAAAAAACTGGCAGGAAACATAGCGACAGGTTCCTAAAAAAACACCCGGTTTTATTGTTTGTTGGTCTCAAACAGTGGTCTACAGCTTGGCAGCTGTCCCATCTAGGTGTCACGCCATCCACCTTCCCCTCCACCTCCCCATGACAAAGTCACCTCATATACTTCGACACTTTCTGGGTAGCTGCTCCCACTTCTCAGCACTGCAGGAATGACTTGCAGAAAAAACTTGCCGACACATTACCTGCTGCTTCCTCTGCTTTTATTCTGAACTACTCCCACTTTGTAAATACACCTCTATACAGCTTTGAACTTAAGGTACACTTGTACTGTGCAGGATGGGTGAGAAATCACCATGAACTCCCAACTTGAGTGATGTGATGAGCCATACTGTTTCACCATCCACCACCCACTCTATATTTGTACATCTTGGTTTCAACAGAGACGACTTTAAAGTGAAGCCTTAAAATGATAAACACAAGGAGGTTTGCAGTAACTGGACCCACCACATTCTGTGTGAGAACACTTAAGGTAAACACCCAAGATATTTCAAAGAAAACTTCACCTTCTGGAAATTTAGAGGTTGCTTAAGTCGTCTCTTCCTCCTTTGCAGAATATAGATGTATTACTCATGCTTCATTCACACAACACAGCACCAATGAAGAAGACGTGTCATTTCTCGCTGAGTTACGCTGCAAGCAACATGGACCTTTGCCTCATTATTACTCACAGCCCTGGAACAAACTGTTTCTCTGCCATTATTGCAATACAGCGAATCTACAAGTGCTCCACTTGGCACTCGAGGTTACATTTCTCCCACTCATCAGCGCTCAGTGAGACTCTGAATACCGGAGCCAGAGGAGCAGGAAATCTACCAAACTTTGAGCTGGACACGGCTGCCAAGCATATAAAAACTATTGTCATAACTGAATCACTGATAGATTTAATGACAGAAAAAATGTCTACATTTCCCACCGTACAAATTCTGCGTAAGCAGACAGGATTCCTGCAGACAAGATTAGTCGATTATTAATAATAGCCTAAAATAGAAGTCATTAGCAACTATTTTGAGAATTGAGTCATTTTTCAAGGGGTATTGCCAACATTATGTGGTTCAAGGCTCTCGAATGTGAGAATTTGCTGCTTTTCTTGATCTTACAATACAGTGAATTCAATATTTTTGGGGTTTGGACTGTTGGTCAGACAGAATATTGACATTGATTTCACATTGGGTTCTGTAATATTGATAGGAATTTTGAAAATAATCAGACTGTGGACATAATTGTTAGCTGCAGCTATAAAAATGTCTTTTTTTCCTTTTTCTATGCATGTCATTTTTAATTTGACATTATGATTAGTTACCTTACAACACTGAGTCATAAAATAATTAATGGTGGAATGTAACTAAGCACATTTACTCAAGTACTGCACATAAGTATAATTCTAAAGTGCTCATACTACATATTTCCATTTTCAGCAACTTTATACTTCACGACATCTCAGAGGCTAATGTTGTACTTATTACTACTGCTACTTTGCAGATACTGACGACTAAAACAAAATATGAATTGACTAAAGACTAATGTATGTACAACTAATGTTGTTTTTATTTTACAAACCTTCCTGATGCAGGTCCAGGAAGACCAAAACTTTAGTGTTACAAATAAACTGTGAAGCTGAGCAAGGTGTTATGTTCAACTCATGTATTTATTTTTTACCAACAATTTTTAAAGAAAACATGCCTGGGCCGGTTTGGAAGGCATGTTTTCTTTAAAAGAAAAATGCCAAAATTACACAGTTAAACACAGCTAGAAACTGTAGAAACAGAAATAATTGTTGGATTTTCAAATTCCTGATGGTCCTTGGACGCATCGTGTGCAATAAAGGCTCCTGTCAGAGAAAAACAAAAAACAAATCTGAGCTTAAAATAGTGGCGTTTCATAAAAATCATTTTATTCTGCGCCAAAAATAAACTGTTTGCACCGACGAACCAGCATGAACAACATGCTTTTTTCCAGCTCCAGGATTTTGTCCTCATATATTAACTTTTGACTTTCAAACATCAAAGAGTAAGTTTTAAAAATCTAACCAAAAACAAAAAAGTAAAAAACATCTCACTAATTAATAGTGGAGGCATTTTCCCCCAGTCAGTCAGAAAGGCTCAACAAAAAATATTTGTAGCTTCAAGGAAGGTCAAAAAAAGTCACACCCAAGTCATCCCACTCCTCTGATTAGTACAGAACACTCCCTAATGAATACTTGAGGTACTTTGAGTATATCTGGACCCCAGTATTTATGTACTATAACTTAAGTAAGTTTTTGAATGCAGGACTTTTACATGTCAGGGTATTTAGAAAGATCAAACAGTTTCTTGTCAATAATAATGATTATTAAATGGCTGTTACACTTTAAAAAAACTCATTCTTCTCATTTAAGTCAAAGGTAACTCCAGTTTTTGCACCACTGATGACTTAAATAAACTGAATGTTTTTGGGTTAAGAGGGACAACTGCTCGACACTATGACAGTGAAGCTGTTTATCTAAGGTGAAGCTCTGTTTACTCTGAGGAAACACTGCTCAGGTTTTCAGACAGAAAACACACTATGAAATCACATTGTGTTACTTCAGTAGTATCACCTTTGTAACGTTATGCAACCTCCTAAAAATAAACCCAGCTCAGATTCTTATCTAAACAATGAACAGGTTAAAACAAGGCGCTTGACAGTAGGTTGTGCAGCCTGCCCCTGTGTGTGTAGCAGCACTGATGCCTTACCTTAATGCTGCAGCACATCGTCCTCGGTCGCTTCATTCCTATTTCTTTGTATGTGAGTATGTCCATGAGTTGAGCTCGCGTCGTCCAGCTCGCGCTCAGCTCAGCTCAGCTCAGCTCCGGTGGTATAAGCAGCGTGTGTCAGCGGCTGTCTTTGTTTTCTCCCCCCGGTGAGCTGCACTGCTGTTTTATGACCGTCGGTGATGTAATTGGACTCAGCCCACAGCTCCACGCGCAAATGTTTTGAAAGTTGTGAATTGGGAACAGACAGTCCCGCGTTGATTGGCTGAGTCACGCGCGAGCCTGTGCAACACTCACCTGTGAGAGCGTGACCTCAGGCGTTAATCGTGAAAACAATTTTACAGTTTCTTTCCAGGAAATATCCAGGTTCATTTTTAATATTTGGTGTTGTCCTCACTTCAGTGGAGCTGAGCTTTGTTCTCCTGCAGCTCAAACACACTTAATGCTTCATTACTTTGTGGTATGCGGCTCTCAGTGTGAGCCTGGAGCTAATGAGTGGGGGGCCCACACAGAGACACTAATGAATGAACTCATCAGTGTCAGTGTGGCTACTGAAGGCTATTATTCCACTAAAATACATGTTTAACCATGTGTTAACAGATTCCAGGTCAGCAGGCGAAATCTTTACATAACCTTTCAACCAAATGGTTCCCAACTGGTCCAGATTTCCCCGCAACCATTAGTTCAAGGTCCACAGTTTTAAATGTCCTCTTAAGACCCTGTGTCCTCATATGTGGACATCACATTTTGGGTTTACTACACTTTATACTTTGGTCTACTTAAGGTAGACCTCTTGTCCTCATTTGTGGACACTTTTTTGTGCCATCTAGTGGCAGTAAGAGAACATTACACTAATACATGTAAAAACAAGATGGCAGCCATCTCTGCCAAGTCGGTCTGCAGCTGATCCCGATGCAAAAGTGGACAAAACCTGATCAAATTTTACAGTTGAAACTTGTTTGTTTATGATTAATAATGTTTGTTGTTTGGTATGGCAACAAATTTGACCAATTTTAGCAACAGTAACAAGCTAAGACACTAGCTATGTTTCCATGCAAAAGTGATTCGAATCATTGGGAAATGCGCCTTAAAAGAAATATGAATCCTGTCCGCAGAACCAGAAACAAAACAAGTTTCGCATTCTTCTTCTTCTATGTTTTCTGGCGGTTGGAAAGCAGCTTGTAAATGCATTACCGCCTTCCCGACCCAGAGTGTGTATATCACCATGGAGAGAGGTGCGCTACGTCAGACTTGATTCGAACATAACTGTTTCCATCCCCCGTTTTGCGAATCAACATTTTTTCGAATCAACCAAAACCCAGCTAGGAAGTACTTGTTTGAGGACATTGGGACTTTATTGTTGTCCCATTTGAGGACACTGGGACTTCACCATTGTCTCGTTTGAGGAATTTGGGACTTAATTATCGTTGCCAATGTTTAGTTTTTTCTACTTATCGGGTCCTTCTGATCCCAAAAATCTAGGAAAAATTAAAAATGCATATCAAGCAATTGTTTGGGTCTCAGGAGGACATGTAGCATCATACTTACGTTTTGCCATGACGTCCAGCTAATTTGCTGTCTCTGTCAAGGAGCTGTCCCTTCTGCGGGATTTGTACTTCTGCGTCAGCATAGAGCCGAGGCCGTAACCTACGCTGTAGCCTGACGTGCACAGTTTACAGAAATGTAACTACACGTGGTGGCAGCGCAGACCTTGTGACTATTCTTGTAAGCTGAAACCACTTCCCTCAGTGGAAATGAAGCTTTTATTTACTATAATTTCACAGATAAGAAACAATAAATTGTGACAACAATAAATAGCATTTTAAGTCTTGTTTGTGATTTATCCTGGCTTCATATGAGTAAAGGAAATCTCTGCTTGTCACCCGGCTAATTTATACAATGTAAAATGCCATAGGCTTGTGCTAATAACGTTAGCATGTTGTATTTGTTTGGAAAAAATGTTAAGTATAAGACAATTGTTTTGTCAGTGAACCTTGTGAGATGTAATGGAGCAGAATTTTGTAACGTTACCTTTGTTAAATGTTGCTGTTGTCCCTGGCTTCAAATGAGTAGAAAAAAAAACATGCTAGTCGCTAGGCTAATTTATGCGACGTTAACTGCCATAGGCTTGTGCTAATAATGTTAGCATGTTGTATTTGTGGGGAAAATGTGTCCAGATAAAGACAAGTGTTTGTCTGTGAATGCTGCGAGTTATAGTGAAGCTGATTTGTGTACTTGTGTTTGAAGTTGTCTCTATTAAGCCATGTTTAATGTGAGTTAAATGTGTGTTATGAATCAACTAAACTTTACAGCACCTCACAGAAACCCTGCTGTGTTTTGGCGTACAGTCTCTTTCAAAATGCAGTCATTTTACCTCACAGTACACGGGAGCTGCAGGTCCACTGCTGCCTTGATTGGTTAGTTTGTCTGTGTTATTGTGTGACTTTGGTGAATCCAAACTAACACTTTAAAACACCAAAGTCACATAATAACTTAAACAAACTAACAGATAGAGGCAGCAGTGGATCAGCAGGTCCTGTGTTTAATGAGGTAAAATTACTGTTTTTGTCAATGGAGTCTGGCTTTGAAGAGAGCATAGATAAGTTTAACTTCCTGTTCAGTTTCCTGCCAGAAAGAGACTTTGATTATACTGCACGAGTTGTGGGAGAGGTTTTACAAAAATGCTTTGATATAGTTTTGCTGTATTATGTCTGGCCCTATGTCTTCACAAATTCAACATGAACCGGGTTGAGTAATTGGTACACAAATGATCATTAGGGGGTGAAGCCTTGTTGGCTCTGTTGTATTCAAGTTTCCTAATAAACCATGACAGTGTGACAGTGAGTCAGCAAACACAATACCAGGACCCTGAAACTGAAACAGCAAAATGGAATTCAGCCATCATTACTTTTTTAATTTACAGTGGTACTTTTTGTTTCTATTGTGCACTGCAATCAGGGCTGGAGCTGCCGTTGAGGACACCAAGGTTGTTTACTCTATTTTTTCTGGGAATCTGGGGGAATGAGCAATCATGGGGGAGAAAAACCTTCATGGCAGGCTTTTAATGAGACTTTTCAGGGGATGATAATTTGACATGCATTCAGAATATGAACTGCTCCCACCAAACAGACGCTACAGGGTTCCAGTTAAATACAGGACATGATTAAAATGTCTTTCATCCTTTCGTTGTCTTAGGGCTCCTGCGAAACTGCGCCTGCTTAGGGCAACAAAACAGATTATCTTGGGTGCGTCAATACAAGAGACAACCAAGAAAGGACAGCAGAGAAGATACTGGCTCACCAGTAGAACTGGGCTGGACAGCCACAAAAAAAAGGTTCACAGACTGAGATCAATGCAAAAAAGTCAACTCATTTCACACATCCATGCACAAAAAGAAAGGTGCTCAAAGTGTTGACTTTTGTTTTGCATTGATCGCATGTGAACCTTTTTTTGTGGCTGTCAACCCCTGCTGAGTTGGTGTGCAGGTATCTCCTCTGCCGTCCTTTTTATCCACTCTCCTCAACTCAGGATGTAAGTGTTGCATGTATTTGAATAACGTTATGCCTACACTTGTCTGTGATGTGCACTTTAAGGACGCATGCACACTGGCGCTATCTGGTCCGCTTTAAACGAACCCTGGTCTGCTTCCACGGATAGTTTGGTTCATTTGGAGTGGTGTGAACGCTCATTTGAACTCTGGTGCGGACCAAACGAGCGAACCCTGGTCCACTTGACAACTGGGGGTCTCGGTTCACTTGCAAGTGAACCCTGGTGAGGTTTGATTACAGTGGGAAATGCAAACGGACTATCCAGCGAACCAAAAAGAGGAAGTGACGTAGAGCACAGTGCATTTTGAGTAGAAAAAAAAACAAAGCCAACAGCGCAAACAGGGAGAAGCAGTTTTTAAATAGTTTAGCAAGAGGATTGTGGCACGTGGCTTTAAATCGGTCGACAGATCAGTATCGCATCAAGGTAAAAAAAAAAAAAACTGTGATAGCAATATCTTAAGATCCTCGACTGAGGGGGATGGAATCTGTTTTCAGTCCTGGCCAATTGATGAGCCGGGTTTTCTTCTTCCTCATGATTTTTTCCTTCCTGGTCAGTGGTCGTTTCGGGCAATACCGCCCCCAAACGAGCAGCTGTTGTAACTGCGTGACGTTGTCCAGGCGTTTGGTCCGCTTCAAAGAGTGCAGTGTGAAAGTGAACCGAACCAAATGAAAGTGTAAAATTTTTCAGCATTCCACGCCCAATTAAACCGAGTCCCCCGGACTATCCTGGTGTGAATGAGCCCTAAGTCTGGTATTAAACTATAACTGTATTTATTTCTGTGTGGCAGGCTTTATGTTAGAGACAAAAGTACGATATCCTAATTCTACAAGAAGTCAAGAGTCACAGTTGCTTATTATCAGGTCTGCCACAAGTAAAGTTTGGATTATTGATATCAATAACTGGGATGCATTTTACGATTACAAAGATTTTGTGCCTCTCATGTTTTACAAAGGACCTAAAAAGTTCTACACTTCTGTAATTTGTGTGGTCTGGATTGAACCACTGTTTCCTCTCAGTTCCTTAAACAAGACGTCTGTTTCCACTAAGTGTGTGACGCAGTCTGCAGTATGTCTGAATAATGTCATTTACATATGTACTGTACTTGAGTCATAGTCAAAACAGTTGTTGTGAATGTGACGCTTGAGCTGACTGACTGCACTTACGAGATGTCCTGATACACTGTAACAGCTCTTATGATACACTGTGCATCTGTTGTGATGTATTGCACAACTAACTATGATACAATGTTGATACTGGTTTCACATAAAGTGCCACCCACGAATTAAAAGCCCGTCAATATAGTTTATGACCAGGTCGATGGTCAACTTAATGTGTTCCTAGGCAACACAGATATGAGAGTTGATCTTTGGTAGAACAATATTTAGATTAACAGGTGTGTTCAAGTAAAGTACGGCGATATTATGAATCAACAAATCAAAGGTGAGAACTGTGTCCCTTTTATCAAGGACAAAAAAAAAATGACTGAACAATAAATAAATGTATTAAACAATACAGAATTAAATACATATATAAAAAAACAAATATGGAAATAAATAAATGTTGAAATAAACATAAAAATAAATGAATAATTGTTGAAATAAGTATAAAAATAAATAAATGCATAAATACATTTGATAAGTAGACAAGACATAATTTAAATGTATTTCTACATTTTTGTTTGTATGTTAATGAAGTAGCAATGTCCCAACCTCTGCTTTAATTTCTTTATTTATGCATTTATTTATTTCCACACTTATTTATGCATTTATTTATTCCTTTATTTATTTATTTCCATATTTATTTCAGCATTTATTTATTATTTTATTTATTTATATTCACATTTATTTAGTCCTTTATTTCAGCATTTATTTATTCCTTTATTCATTTATTTCTGAATTTATTTCGGCATTTATTATTTTATTTATTTAAATCGCATTTATTTTAGCATTTATTCTTTCTTTTCTGTGTTCATTTCAGCATTTATTTATTCCATTGTTTATTTATAGCCGCATTTTTTTATTCCTTTTTTCATTTATTTCTGAATTTATTTCAGCATTTATTTTATTTTAATTGTATTTATTTCAGCATTTATTTATTCCTTTATTTATTAATTTCCAGTTATTTCAGCATTTGTTCATTCCTTAATTTAAGCATTTATTTTTTTATTTCATTCATTGATATCCCCATTTATTTATTCCTTTATTCATTTATTTCTAAATTTATGTCAGCATTTATTATTTACTTAAAAGGTATTCATTTTAGCATTTATTCATTCTTTTCTGTATTTATTTCAGCATTTATTCCATTGTTTAATTATTTCAGCATTTTGTATTCATTTCCAAATTTATTTCAGCTTTTTTTCTTTATTTATTTTCTTTATAATTCACATATTTAATTTTTGTATTTATCCATTTTCATATTTGTTTATCCATTCTGTTTTACATATTTATTTTTTTATTTATACTTTTGTCCGTATCCTTATGAGTATGAGTTATATCACAATAATACCTGTATTACAACTCTATCTACACGCAAGTGGACAAAATAATGGAAACGCCAGATGGAAATGTGCTTAAATCTCGAGGAAACTGAGCGACAATAATGAAGGCAGATCCAAAGGTGAGTCACACTTGGCTGAATCTATCCAGGAAATCCATCTTGTGTTTTTTATATGAGGCTACAAGTATGAACAGGGGCCTTCAGAGAGGTTTACAGAACTCTCTGAATATGTTTACCGAATCAAACCCAGATACCCCCTCAGACCTGAGAATGTTCTGGATTTTACTTTGCAAACTAACTCAGTAGCGCCCACAAGATTGTGACACAACAGTCTGATAACGAGAACATCCACTTACTCAACATGTCTTGTGGTTGCGTTGCATTATTGTCTATTGCGACTGCTGCTGGTGAAGAAATCGTAGGACAGCTGTGCAGAAATGACTCTTTGACTGTGATGAATGGAAACACAACGACAATTGGTGTTTTGAAAGGATGTCGTCTTTGAACGTTGCTGTGCGGAAATACCTCAACGTGACGTCACATCACTGACATTTAGCTGGTTATCCCAAGAAATAAGAAGAACATTGCAACACCACAATGTATGCTATATTTAGAATATTTTTATCTCTTTACCTTGCCGTCAGACAGCTCTTCCCGACAGACAGTGAAGCCGTTATCTGTGCTCTATGTGATTTTACCTCACAGAACACGGAAGCTGCTGGTCGACCGCTCCTTCAGTTGGTTAGTTTTGTAATACTGTGTGACATCACTGTACCTGAACCCTTTAAAAGGGACAGTTCATTTTTTGGAAATGGGATTGCATTTGGTACCGATCCATAGTCGGTGTATTCAGGATGTCAGTCAGCGCGCCCCCAGTTTGAAGAAGCAGGATGGAGTCTGACATGGAAGCTAAACAATGTGTGGTCGGGGGCGGCAGCAACCACCCTTTTACCTTTTTGTCAGACGGCCTGTACCGACAGGGAAGCTGTGGCTTCAGTTTCCCATCCATGCTCTCTTCAGTGCCAGACTCCATTGACAAAAACAGAAATTTTACCTCGCTGATCACAGGAGCTGCTGGTGTACCTCTGCCTCGACTCCTGACTTAGTTGCTGTTGTTGTGTGACTTTGGTGTTTTAAAGGGTCTTCACCACCCTCCTAGAATAGAAGATGTCACGATGGGGTCTAATCGCCAAAGACTTTACACATTTGTCATACTAATGTGCACATGTAGATAAATATTCTTTTCTCTCAGATTGTGTCTCTCCTGATTGAAGTGATATTGATATTTTTAGGTGGGACTTTTTTTTTTTTTGGGGTGGCTTAAGTACCTTAGCTTAGCTTCCATGTTGGACTCAAGTCTGTTTCTCCAAACTGCTGGCGTGCCGACTGACATCTACTGTATGTGATAAACTGTCAACGGATACGTAACCCGTAAACCTCACTTCAAAAAATCTGAACTATGCCTTTACAACTCCTAAGTCCCACAATAACACAAACAAATGATGGAGGCAGTGGGAGACCAGCAACTCCTGTGTTCTGCAAGTAAAATTATGAAGGAGTCTGGTGAGAAATGTGATGGCTTTAGTTTCCTGTTGGAAAGGGTTGTCTGAGGGCAAGGCAGTAAAAAAAAAAAAAAAAAAGCATATACATAAGCTGATATTGATTTTTATAGGTGGCTAAATCTTTTTTGCTGCTGTCCTCATCCAAAGCAGTACATTGCTTAGCTTCTGTGGCAGCACTTCTGTCTGCTCCTCCACACTGGGGGCGTGCTGGCTGCCATCTACTGTAGGTAATACACTCAGTACGTTTACTAAGCTCATAGCTAGGCTAGTCATTTAAGTCGGACTTCTTATCTTGTCTGAGTATACATGCAAAAGAGAAAATCAAATTTCTGACAAAGTACGTCTGACTCTGCCTCGATAGGCGGCGCTGTGTCCTTTTTAATATAGTGCATATTGAACTAGTTCCAGTTCTTGTTCAGAAACTTTTTTAAATAAATCTGTGTTTTGCGTCTTCCTACATCCATAAACCTGAAAATGTTTAGCTCCTTTAGCTGTCGGAGCATGAATGTAGTTTCCTTGTCCGTCCAGAAGTGCGTCTTCTGCTTCTCGGTTGCCATGGTGTTTGTTTGTTTTACCGAGAGTTACTGCACTGCTGCTACGTCATCTCCTTCTTCTTCCTGGTGAAAGCCCGCGAATGAAAAAGTGGTGCATGTGCAGAACGCTGAGTCTGACTCCAGTTGGACTAAGTGGATACATGCAGCAACAGTTCAATTTTCAATCGAATTATCTTGGTGTGTTAGGCAAGCTACGGATAGTCCAGTTTCAGTCAGACTAAGCTGTTTACATGCATTTAAAAGTCCAGTTTCAGTTGGGCTAAGCCAATAATTTGATTTTCTCAAGCTGCATGTAGTATGGTTAAGTACCTCATACAACCCCACTTAAAAAACCCTCTCCCTTTAATGCAAACAAAAAAAAAAAGCTATTTTTGTCAATATTCATAAGTATTTAAGGTGGACTGGGTGTAGGGACGAGGACTTGTAAAGCTGGGGACTTAAGGGATTCTGCACAAATTAGATTTTAAATAACTTTCCATTACAACATCAGGAAGAAGTGCAGGGTCCATGTGACATCAGCCTAAAGCTAAAGAGGCAAAAGCGACTCGAATAGAAACTAAGAGAATTAAGAATCCATAACAATGTTCTTACATTACACACACATGGACGCTTATTTGGTGACACAGATACCTGAGTATTAAGAGCTGACGCTTTACTCATTTGGTTTTTCTTTTTCCATCAACAAGTGGACGGCTGGCATGGCTGAAAAGCAAAGGCATCATTGTGGTTTTAAGCTTTGCAGGCTAAACAGAAAAACATTGTTGTACCAAAACACTCGGCTTCAACTGCGGCTTTTGTGCTACAAAACAAACATGGCTGTGGTATCAGGTGTTCTCCCTAAAACAATGGGAAGCGCTATTGTTTTAAGTGCTCAGCAAGGGAGCGGTACTGACACGCCGCATCCTTCTGATGTGAAAAGAAATGAAGTCGACATTCTATATTTAAAAGATCCCATTTAATTTGTGGATATGAAATTTGGGAAGCAGTTTAAAACCTTAATTCAACATGCAGTGAGCATAAAGACACATCACAAAGATGTTAAAGGTGTGAGAATAAGATTAGACCAAAGCTGGTAGGCAGTTTTGTGTGTTCACAGTGATTATTAATGTTCTAGTTACTCACAAAAATCAGTCAAAAAAAATCCTGTGACGGGCCGTGTTCTGACGCAGAACAATCAAGCTTATAAAATAGAGACGTGGTGATAACTCTGTTCGGAGGTTGTGATAGTGGAAATTAAATGTACAAAAGAGGGAGAAGCTGGTGGCGTTCAAACAGTGTCCATTATTCACTCTGGATTCTTAAAAATCAAGTCATATATGTAGCTTTGCGATGCTGATTTTGTACAAGCTGTGGCGTCCATACATTTGATCCACGAAGAAAAGTAGTTTGTAGTGTCGTCCAGAGGAAACAGTGTACCGAAGTTTTCCTTGAGGCCTCTCGTACCGTGTTGGAGAGTGTGGTTACATATACAAATGAAGCCCTTAAACTACTCTGGTACCTAAATCATTCTGCTGTAGAGGTACTCTCATCCACATCTACACTTTACACTGTTTCACTAAGATAAAAACTGTAGAAAATACTGTCTTTAAAACCACTTTGTCAGAGGCTTAAATTGCGCTTTAAAAAATTTGTCCAATGGCACAAAAACGTCCGGGAATGCAAGGGAAGAGCACCACATTTCTAGACACCTTCAAAGCGTACGAAAAAAAATATTCAACGAAGACTCCTTTTACTTTGCTATGCTGTAAAAAGATAATTCAACTATATAAAAACTCCAAAAGGACTGTACAAAATAAAATCATCAGGCTTTAGTCTGCTGTCATCTGATAAGGCACATTTCAGACATGTATTCCTTATGAAGTGTCCACCAGCCTTCAGTGTTGCTGTTCTCAGGGAGGAAAGAAGCAGCTTGTTTTCACACGTAAGCGCCCAACGCTGCGTGGAACTCTGTGAGACACTGAACGAGCTGCTGAAACTTGGGCCTCTCCTCTGGGTCCAGGGCCCAGCAGCAAGCCATCACTGCAAACCTGCAACACATAGGGAAGGAAAACAATGAGGGTCGGATCAAAGGTCTGACCACGAGACATTTCACGTCATGTTGGGTGTTTTTGTTTGAGACAGGATGCAGGGGGAGATTTAGGAGGATGAAAAACTGACATAAGTATTGAGAAATAAATGAAGGCAGAGGTTGGACCTTTAATCTCATTAACAGACAGACACAAAAATACACAAGTAAATGTAGTTGTGCAAAAATGTAGAAGTAAATTTAAGATTTACTTATTTCCTGTTAACTTACCATTGTTTCTTTATTGATTTATTTGTTTATGCATTTATCTGTTTATTTCAACATTTATTTATTGATTGATTAGCAGCCGGAGGCAACTTTTTGGCGCTTATGGTTTTTGTGTTGCGTCACGCCTTGCATTTCTGTTCTCTAGGCGCCTGACATTTTTCCCGGAGTGCTCTGAACTCCTTGAGCTGAAAAGACTTCAACTCAGAGCAGAAAAGCTCAAGTCATCTCCAGTTTTTTCCCCCATTGTCCAATCATATGATTTGAGGGGCAGGCTTTCGAACAATGGAGGAGAAACTGGTGGAGCGGTTGTTGGATACCTAGAGCTTACCTAGAGTCATCCTAAAATATGCCTGGAAACTGCCATCATTGAGGAGAAGCTCCTGGACCAACTGGTGGTACTCCCCATGACCCACCCTATTTATTTATTATTTATTTAGTCTCATGTACCCACACAGATCTTTGTTTCCCTGTGCCCAACAAACTACTTGTTGACAGCCTCTCACCCCTCAACCAGAGCTAGGATAAGGAGGTGATGGAGTGGTTGCCTGGCAACAATTAAAAGGTGCAGCAAGCGTTTCTTTTACTCGTGGCATTCAATCCTAAGGAAAAAAAGGCAGTGTGGTGTGCCTCGCCTTTTTATGTGATCGGGGCCGGGGTTATTTTTCGTCCTCCATTCAAGACAGAAGACAGGCGACATGAAACAAAAATCTAGAGCTGGCATCACACTACCCTGTCGCCAGAAGAAAATGTTGACTTTGTACGTTTCTGCAAACCACAGATACTTTAGAGTTACATGTTATTATGTGGCAGGTGGTTTGAAACTTTTAAAGTCAACGTTTGGTTAGATTTAGGCACAAAAAACACTTGGTCATGTTTCGGAAAAGATCACGTTTTGGCTTTAAATACCCGGTTTTGGGGCACAATTCTCAATGGGAAAGCAGCAATGTCTTGGTAAAAAGCAACAGTTTTTCATGGTTCTATTCCAGGTGGGAAAACAGCAACAGGTCGCCACAAAGCATCCACGTTTGGTGGCTGGAAAAACATGGCGGGTTGCTAAGATACAACCAGTTTTGTTGTTTGTTGGTCTCAAACAGTGGTCTGCATTTGGGCAGGCGTCTTGCCTTAGTCTCACGCTATCCACCATCCCCTCCACCTTCACATGACAAAGTCAGCTCATATGATACGTATGAAGCATACATATCCAACGAATCTGTGTTTTGTAGAAACGTACACCGCAAAAATTTTCTCACGGAGACAGGGCTGCGTCAAACTCAGGGCATTGTAATTAAGTGGCACACACACTTACCTACAGTACATGTTGTATTGTCCTGAAACAGGAGCTGCCTGTACAGCACTGATATAAACGAGGGAGATAAAATCATTTCTTAACACCGAAGCACGACCTTAAATGTTTTATTTTGCAACCTCTAATATTTTGGAAAAGGAAGCCATCACCTCACCACCATTGTATTCAGACGGAAACCGTGTTCAGTCATTTTATAGATTTCAGGTGATTATTCCCTGAGGACCTTGTAGATAACACTATCAGGGGGTTTTCCAGCACAAGATTTTTTTTGGTCGAAGCAACAGAACCTTTTCTTTTACTATACTACACTTACTAACAAGTGGGCAAAAAGTATATATGATAAATGAAACTATTTTAAATAATGACATAAAGGCTGTCAGACAGTGGATGTAAGTTTGTGACAGAGGGCTTTATGCTGCTGGAAAAGCAAAGTGAGGACTGCAACTGAGAATCCAGATCGTTCACGCTGAAAAAATTCATTTGACAAACTCAACAGCAATGTCTCTTTCCAGAAATCATGACCTGGTTACTCAAGATAATCCACAGACCTTGTTGTGAGCAGTTTCATGTAGGAACTATTTTCTGTCTACCGAACTACACCCACCAACTGTATTACTGCGCAGAAGCAAGTGTGAAATACAGTCAGGTCCATAATTATTTGGACAATGATACAGTTGTCGTCATTTTGGCTCTGTACACCACCACAATGAGTTTAAAATGAAACAATGAATACCTGCTTGAAGTGCAGACTCTCAGCTTTCATTTAAGGCTTTTTTCAAAAATGTAGTATGAACCGTGTAGGAATTACAACCATTTGTTCACACAGTCCCCCGACTTTAAGGGCTCATAAGTATTTGGACAAACTAACATAATCATCAATTAAACAGTCAGTTTTAATACTTGGTTGCAAATCCTTTACAGTCAATGACTGCCTGAAGTGTTGGACACATAGGCATCATCAGATGCTGGGATTCTTCCATGGTGATGCTCTGCCAGCCCTTTACTGCAGCCGTCTGCACTTCCTGCTTGTGTTTTGGGTGTTTTGCCCTCAGTTTTGGCTTCAGCAAGAGAAACGCATGCTCAGTTGGATTCAGGTCAGATGATATGACTTGGCCATTGCAGAACATTTCACTTCTTTGCCTTAAAAATGTCTTTGGTTGCTTTTGCAATATGCTTCAGGTCATTGTCCAACTGCACTGTGAAGCATCATCCAATGAGTTTTGAAGCATTTGGTTGAATCTGAGCAGATAATGAAGCCCCAAACACTTCAGCTTTCATCCTGCTGCTCTTGTCAACAAGACAAGACTTCACTAGAATAAATACAGAGGGTTTATCACAAGATGCAAACCATTGGTTAGCCTTAAAAATGGAAGGCCAGATTAGAGTTTGTCAAAAACCATCTAAAAAGCCTGTACAGTTGTGGAACAGCATACTATGGACAGATAAAACAAAGATCAACTACCAGAATGATGGGAAGACAAGAGAAGGAAGAAGGGAAGGAACTGCTCATGATCCAACGCACACCACCTCATCAGTGAAGCATGGTGGAGGTACTGTTATGTCATGGCCATGTATGGCTGCCAGTGGAACTGGTTCTCTTGTATTTATTGATGATGTGACTGCTGACAAGAGCAGCAGGATGAAAGCTGAAGTGTTTGGGGCACCATTATCTGCTCAGATTCAACCAAATGCTTCAAAACTCATTGGATGATGCTTCACAGTGCAGATGGACAATGACCTGAAGCATATTGCAAAAGCAACCAAAGACATTTTAAGGCAAAGAAGTGGAATGTTCTGCAATGGCCAAATCATATCATCTGACCTGAATCCAACTGAGCATGCGTTTCTCTTGCTGAAGCCAAAACTGAGGGCAAAACACCCAAAACACAAGCAGGAAGTGCAGACAGCTGCAGTAAAGGGCTGGCAGAGCATCACCAGGGAAGAAACCCAGCATCTGATGATGCCTATGTGTCCAACACTTCAGGCAGTCATTGACTGTAAAGGATTTGCAACCAAGTATTAAAACTGACTGTTTAATTGATGATTATGTTAGTTTGTCCAAATACTTATGAGCCCTTAAAGTCGGGGGACTGTGTGAAGAAATGGTTGTCATTCCTACATGGTTCATACTACATTTTTGAAAAAAAAGCCTTAAATGAAAGCTGAGAGTCTGCACTTTAAGCAGGTATTCATTGTTTCATTTAAAACCCATTGTGGTGGTGTACAGAGCCAAAATGATGACAACTGTATCATTGTCCAAATAATTATGGACCTGACTGTACGTGCGGACGAGAGGCTCGTGCTCCTGACAGCGCAAGATCTAACTGCAATGGTGTCTCTTGGCTGAGCTGTAACTTTAAGACCCTGGCACACCAAGCTGACAGTCAGCTGTCGATCAATGTTGGGCCATCGATGAACGCCTGTTGCCCTAGTTGGTGCGGTGTGTCCCGCACTGTTGCCCCTTCAGCATGTGGAATCAACATTGTCAGTGGCTGAGTCCATTGGTGAATGAAATCTGATTGGCAGTTCAGCTCAGGGCACGAGAACCAAATTGGAATTGAGACCAAAACAAAGTTGTTTCATGAGGTAAGATTATTTTTCTTCAGCCACTGAGCTCTTTGGCAGAAACCTTTCCGGATGGTTTGTGTAATTGTTCACTGACGCGCGGTAACTATGCTTTGTTCTTTCAGCATCAGGTTGTGTTGTTCATGTGCTAATGTGCTAACTAGCATCAAGATGGTCTTTCCGATTCCCTTTTTGAATGACGATTACAGACTGCTGCGATCTGCTGGTGTGGAGTGTCATTTCTCCTCAGGCAGGTGCAGAACGTACATGCTGGTTCGCTGGTGGCTGCAGTCTTTGCAGTGTGTTCATGTGCAACTTTTGGCTGAGAAACAGGAGACATGAAGCGACACAGCAGGGGGCCTTCATCGCTGCTGGGTCTCTGAAGTCAGTTTGGTGTGTCTGGGCCTTTAGCTAGCTCAGTGGTCGGATGCATGCTTCCTTCTGTGCTGTAAATGGATGGTGGAGGGTCTGTATATTTTTCTGCTTTTTTTTGTCCCTTGCTCATCACATGCCTGGTTATTTACTGAATGTGCTGAGGAACAATCCGTCTTCATCTGCAGCCTACTACAAGTTACTACTGTACCTCATGTTCTTGTCCATTAAAATAATTAACACTTGGCCTTCATGGCGGATGGGCGCAGACAGCTGACTGGTTCTGACATGCCCCAATATAAACGCACCATCTCAGTGTGTAGACCTCTGCAGTGGAGCATGTGCGTGTATGTTCAGCTGCAGCCACCCTTGTTATTGCAGACTTTCACCAGATGAAGTGTGCCAACACATTGTGTGTATAAAACGGGAGCTGGGTCAAACTGAAATGTTCAGCAGCAGCGACCAGTGATGGTAAATGTTAAGCTTTATCAACATCCTGCAACTGTCAAGGAGAAGGAGCAGCCAGTGCCCACAGGCGTCATTCTCACACCATGGAGTTATTGTTTACATGCCATTTCCTCCGTATCGAGTTTGCAACGAGGCTGTCACCTTTCACTGCTGGATAATAACGGGCTTTTTCCTGGCTCACAGCAGGGCTGCAGTGGTGGACCACCTGGGTGGATTAGTTTGTGATGCAAGCTCAAGCTCAGGCTTTGGGTGGTCGTGTCAAAATCCATAAAGATGCTGTGTATCATTCTGACGCTGACATTTTTAGTATTTATTCATAAATGTAAACTAACAGAACTCTGGGACACATGGTTCAAAGTGAAGTCCATAAATTATTCTCATTATATATGGCTCGGTTGGTCATATCAGTGTAGGTGTGCCATTTCTTTTCACCTTCAGGCTGGCGATATGCAGCTGTATGTCCCAGTAACGCCTTGAAGGGACAGGTAAATGGATTTTTAAGCACGTTATTAGGGAAAAGAAAAAATAGTGTTTGTATATTTGTGTGTGTGTGTGTGTGTGCTCTGTAATCCAACATACAGTTCATCTGGACAGTTGATTGGTTGTGCTATTCTGTACCCATCCTTCAGGTAGGCCGACATCTCAAAAGGGTCGATGTCGACGTATGGCGTCTGACCCAAAGTCATCAGTTCCCACAGCGTCACTCCAAAGGCCCACTGTGGAAAAAAAACAACACAGGATTAACACTGAGTCCTGCGCTGAGCATTTATTTAAACACGATCAACACAAGCTGTTGTCTTTAATGTGTTATCATCAAACAGGATCAACACGACCACCATTCCTATTCAGGGTACGGAAAAGCCCGTGGGGCACACTCGCAAAAAATGCTTCGCAAGAACAATGCGAGGAAATTATGTTGAAAAATTTATATGGAATATAAATCACTGCTGAAAGTTTCTGTTAAGAGACTGAGGGTAAACAGTTGGGTGGCTGTTGTGTTTAGGGAGACTGAGAGTTCAAGGACCCGTGTCAGCAAGGACCTGCCCTGCATGTGTTGTTGTGTTGACCCTTCACGCTGACCTCCCAGGAGGAGAAGAAGCATTTCCATAATCGTGTTATTACCGTATCTAAGGTCACACTTGGTATTTGGAATTTTGGGAGTAAGGCTAATTCTTATCTAAAATAACTGGGCAGCTCCTGTGAACCTGACAGTGACTTATGAACAGAAAATGACAGATTATCCTTGAAAAGAGCAGCGTTTCATTCTGTCTGCATGAACCGTCACAGTTGGATGCACACAGCCGCATGCAGAGAGTGATGCACATAACATGGAACCAAAGCTCACAAGCACAAGCTCCACCCAAAAACCTTTAGCCATGGGCTCTTAGTAACATACGCTGAGGTTAGCACAACAAGCTGTGGTGTGAAGTGCCTAATTTGTACTTCTGTAGAGAAACAGACACAAAGCTTCCGCAGAGCTGCAGAGACGGTCTGTGGGGCTCGCAGAGAGACTCCTGAAAAATGGAACTTCACGCCAAATACATGAGACGCTGCAGAAGTTTGACTGGATATCAAAGCTGGGAGGGAGGATTTCTGGACAGTGCTGGTCCCAACATGCATGTGTGAAATTACCTACTATGTGTCTGTGTGAGAGGTGCCTGCACAGATTGCATAGGCACTGCAGAAGTATGAATTAGGCATGAGCCAGTCACACTAAGGCAAGCGCAAATGAAATGCCAGGAGACCCTCCCGCAGGGTTCCCAGCAACACAGTGAGTTGTGTATAAGATGATGACGTTGTGTTGTCATTGCTTGACGTTGCTATGAGTCTGTGTATGAAAAAAACACCATACATGCTAATGCACATTTGACAGCATCACCCGGATGTGCCGATGACCAGGATGATGAACGTTTGGGTGCTTTGAATGTTCAAAGCCAAGCCAAGGTTAAAACTAACTGTAACATTCCTCCCAATGCACAGGTTTTATTTTTTATTATTCAAATTTTTATTTCATATCATAAGCACTGCTTTTTAGCTTTATAGCCTGTTGTGACCTGTTGTCTTTTGGGAATGCCCTGCACTGAATTGGCGTTGGTATAGACTGCGTAGAAGTGTAGCCTAGGCTGTAGTCTGGCATACACCTCCCGACAAATGTAACTACACATCACTGTAATGATGACCTCCTGTTAATTTTTGTTAACTGAGAACCATTTCCCTCAATGGAAAAGATGCTTTTATTTACTGTGACAGCTAATGTTAGCATGTTGTATATGTGGGGAAAATGTGTCGAGTATAAGATACATTTTTTTGTCTGTGAACCTTGTGAGTTATAATGGAGCTGGATTTTGTACTTTTGTTTATGTTGCTGGCGGCACGGTGGTGTGGTGGTGAAGCACTGTTGCTTCACAGTAAGACGACTCTGGGTTTGAATCCACTGGCCAGTCAGGGGCCTTCTGTGTAGAGTCTGCGGTTGCTCTGGCTTCCTCCCACAGTCCAAAGACATTCAGGTTTGGTTAACTGGTGACTCTACATTGCCTGTAAGTGTGAATGGGAGCGTGAATGGTTGTCTGTCTCTATGTGTCAGCCCTGTGATAGTCTGGAGACCTGTCCAGGGTGTACCACGCCTGTCACCCAATGTCGGCTGGGGTAGGCTCCAGTTTACCCGGAACCTGTATCAGGACAAGCAGTTACGTTAATGTTAATGATGTCACTATTGAGCCATGTTTTATGTGTATTTTATGTGTGTTTGTCAAATTAATCAAACTTAACTGCACTTGTGTCAGCTACAGCATGAATTTGCCTTAACACAGAGGTGTTTGAAATGTCCTTTATATTTAAAATAAAAATAGTTTACTAAAGTTGCCGGTGGAGAAATGCTACCTCAGTCAGGAGATACTGTCTGTTAATAAATATAAAGAAGTATCGTTTAAATTTGCACCAAAGCATGACGTGCGTATGAAGTTAGCTGTGAGTTTTGTATACTGTTCATCCGTAGTTAGTATGTCATAACCTGTGGTGGGGTGACACAGAGCCTTTAAAGGAAGCGTAGGGAGTGATTGAGGACAGAGGGCACAGTGGTGGGAGGGCTTCAGAGGAAAAACATGATATACAGTAATCCACCCACATCAGCGCCCAGGCAGACATTCCCAACAAGGCCTGAACGTGCCCACAGTCACTTTCTCATCCAGTCCAGCTCAGTATCAAACATGCGTAACCAGTGACATAGGGGTATGGCGTATTCACATGCGTAACACTGGCGTGTTTGATGTTCTTATGATGCTACGCAGCTCTGTCTGGACTTCCCCTGAAGCTCAGTTAGTTGATAATGCCAGGCTTCTGTTAACTGTAAGTGTAGGGCAGAGATGGTGATTACTATGAAGCGGTGTGACCATAAGAGGAATGCGGAGGGGTGGGGGCATGTCTGTCTGGTGTCTGAGCGGTGTCTCTAAGGATCGTTGAGCTTCCCGACTGTCTCCGCCGCGCCCGCATTGCTATCCTGAGACAGGAAAAAGGGAAGAGCCAGAGCACCTCAACACTGCACCTCCTTTCCTTTTGACACCTTGACCAAGCGTCTTTAAGAATGGCTTGGATACAACCGGTGCTATTTCCTGCATCACCCTCTCTGTGTCATGCACCCTGAACATTTTGTAGTTACTGAAAACCCTTACGAGGCAGGAAATGTTTTAACGGTTAAAGGGTAAGTTTAATATTTGTCATCCTGGCCCCTATTTTTTGTCTAAGTGACTAATGGACAAAGCAATGCAATTCAAAAATGCTGTAGTTGACAGCTGCAAAACAGGCTGTGATGTAACCACACGTGGCATGTTCGCACCTTCAATGCTTGTCCAATAAAAGGGTTTATTTTTACCACTGACAGGCTCAGATTGTTTTATAAGTGACAACAATGGAAAGGATCCCTACAGAGACAGACATTTTGATACAAGAGTAGTCAGAAACACCACAAAACCGCAACCTTACAGTGCATAAATGGCTCGAGTTGGTACTTTTATACGGTAACTTCAGTTTCAAAAGTTGTTGCCATTCATCCCTTGGACACAAACACATGGAAAACAAGGCCCAGGTTGAAAAATACCAAATTTACCCTTAAATCTATGAGAAGCGAACTGTGTTTTGCAGCGTACTGTAATTCTTACCACGTCACTCGCACTGGAGAAGTCGTTGTTTAGCAAGCTTTCCAGGGCCATCCAGCGGACTGGCCTGTTCTCATTATCCCCCAGACAGTGGTAATCCATCGGAAATAGGTCTCGGGCAAGGGCATTGTCTGTTATCTTCACCTGCATGTTGTCGTCAATGCTGTCAGAGGAGGGGAGAGACACGAGAGAAATGTTGGCATCTTTACTTTTTAGTAATTAAATTCCAGACTAAATCACCTGAAAGCTACAGGGAAGAAGTGAAGACAAGTGATGGCAGCTCTAAGCCGGGACAGGGACACTTACACGCAGTTCCTGGCAGCGAGGTCTTTGTGTATGACCTCCCTGCGAGCCAGGTAGCTCATTCCACATGCAATCTGGATGGCCATGTAAACCAAGTCTTGCTGAGAGACGGCCTGAAAGGAAATGAGGGAGAGCGACATAACGTGCAGTTGAGAAGCAGAAACAGGAAAAACACAAAAATGGGAGGGGGCGAGGACAGGAGACCATATCGGAGCTGACGTGACTTTACTGTGGTGAAATTGGTCTTCTGTGTCAAATTGTTCTTATTTCCTTTGAATGGGAACACAGTTAGCTCTGGGTCAAATATGGGAGCGACAAACTATTTAGTGTTTTGAGCCACAGGCATGGCTCTAGGGAAGGTAATGCTGGTCCTCTGTCACCGTCAGCAGGTCAACACTTTTGGCTTTTAGTGAAATATCACGACAACTGTTTGATGGATTGCCACAGCTTGGTGCAAATATCCACTGAACCAGAAAGACTTTTCCTCGGCTGGCACGATAAGCTGACATTTTTGAGTGATATATCTGATTAACTGTTGGATGGAGTGCTAGAAAATGTGGTTCATGAGAATCCTTGTCGGACACAGGGTGAGCTGTAATAACTTTGATGATCCTTTAAATTTTCTTTAGTGCCAATTAGCATATGCTAGGATGCTAAATGGCTAATTTTCTTTTTGCTAAAACGCTGAATGAAGACGTTGAACTTGTGAACAATACACCTGCTTATCATCAACATGTTAGCACTGTCATTATGAGCACGTCTGCATGGTGTAGTTGGCATCTGTGAGACAGATCACTACAGCTTACATCAGGACAGTATAAACAGTTTGCAACCTGCAACACTGCAGGCACAATTTGTCTTTACGACAGCGGTGTACCGCTCTGAAACTGTGGGGCGCCGAATCACAAATGTAACAGTTCTTACATAATGTCGTTTTAATATTGTTGTATGCAACAGATGGAAAACAATCTGAATCCCAGAAAGTCCCTTACTCAAAGGTTTGAGCAAGAGTCTCAGAAAGTTATTTGTTTTGAGCTCGGAGCTACAGGAGGGCTTGTCGACAATAGATCTGCCAGCAGGTGTGTCTGAGACCAAGTGTATAAACATCCTGCAAAGCTTAAAAGACTACCTTGCCTTGTAGGAGAGCTCCTGGAGTAACAGTACCACATATTGATGTGTATATTGGTTTTTTAAAGTATGTAAAAATACTGATTAATATTTTGTTTAACACAGTTTTCCCTTAAGAAAATTTAGTCATTTAGGGCCATTAGTCGACTAGTCGCCCGCATGTTTATGATATTAATGTAATGATTAAATGATATATATTTTGGTGGTTTGAGTTGAAGGTGTGAGAAAGAATAGTATCAGTAACATTGTTAACACTGTGCTACATTACAGAGAAATACAAAACCATACTAATGACCCTTCATTAATATAGGCCTATATTTTATCTACAAGTGCACGTCACACACTGAGCGAGCCGCCTGTTAATGACGCTGTGGGCTAATGGGCATGTAGCTACTTCCATGTTTCAGATGATACGTCACGTTTGTAGTCGACCAATGAAGATGAGTTTACATATCACCTTGGGTTCATCCTTCACCTTCTCAAAATGATCCCACACTTTGGATTTCCTGCCCGACATGTTATTAACTAGCCTGTGGAATAACCGCAGGTACCAGCCCTGGAAATTAACCTGACTCCTGTCTGACTGCTGAGCGTGGACACTTCCTGTGTCTGTCCTTTCAAATTAAATTCCCACATGGTCCAGTCATATAGGTTTTAAATTATTTTGACAAGGCGCAGCTCCTAACAGAGTTTGTTTTTTCTGCGACTAAGCAACTAATGAAATCTTTCCGACTAATAACCTTTCTGTTTGACTAACTTTTGGTCGACTATTAGGGGCAGCCGTAGATTTTAGGGAGGTGCAAAGACATCTCCCCCCCAGTACAGGAATGTAACACCTCTCCAGAGCAAAAATACAAGTTAGTCTAGTCAAGGTCGGACTTTGTGGGTACGTAAACTGAAGAAAAACACATTTTTGAGTGTTGCATGTTGTATTTCTGTATCCAATCTAATTCAGTCGGCTGCACAATCCCTGGCACACACACACACACACACACACACACACACACACACACACACACACACACACACACACACACACAGTGGACGTTTTTCAGCTGTTCAATCTTATCAGGTAGTGGACAGTTTGATACAACCTAAATTAATTAATCTCACAACACAGGAAAGCAAAGTCTTGGCAACCAGCGAACAGAGATAAGAACATTTTAAGGCAACAATTCCAAGTTAAACTGAGATGTGTGGAGCTGGTACCAGACAGTTCAGTCAGGTTAAGTTAACAGTTGGGTTGTCAGTGGAAAAATGACAACTGTGGAAAAGGTCAACAGGTTTTTTTTTTTTTTTTTTTTTAACCTTTTTATCTTCCAAACCAGATGTTCACTTTCAGAATGAATGCCACACTATAGTATTGTGCCTCCCTGGAGTTTAATCTCACCTGTGCTGATGCATTTCTGATTTATAGCTCGATGTTTATTGCAACAGCATAACTTAATGACTATGTCTTTGTCTCCGACAACTGCCAAGAGTACATAATGAGATTGCTGAGAACTAAGGTGCTGATGTGTTACCTGAAACTTTACAAAGCGGTTTTGATTAATGCAAATGGATGGCATGTTTCATCTTGTGATTGCGAGGTGTTTGCTGCATCTGTATTTTGCAGCTGATTGATCGGTTGGATCTGTGCTGTGGCTTTGCCAAGCACATCAAAGACTCCCTGGGGTTAACCTGTACAAAAGCCTGATTGTCTTTACATAGCGAATAAAAATCTCTGCCTTGAGCACCGCTTCATGACTATATCAACAGTCCTTCTAATAACAGTGTAAACAGTAGTTACTGGTACGTGTTGATTGCTGCAAACACACAGAACCTTCTCTCAGGCTCCACTCTTGGATAACATCTGATTTTTCTTCCAAGCAGGGGGATTAATTTTAATAGTTTAATAAATGTCTCAATGTGATGCCATACAAGGCTTCCATTATGGTATTAATCTTAATGGTTTAATAAGTGGTTCGTGTTTCTTTTATCCACCAAATGTATGCTGAGTTGAAGCCTCACCTGTGGGTTGTTAGCCTCAGCTAGCTTGCATTGGCGCAGAAACAGCTTGAGATTGCCCCAAGCCATGAAAGGCAGCAGCACCATGGGCTTCTCTCCATCCTCTGTACATACGTGACTTATAGGCAGCAGATTTCTGCAGGTGGAGAGAAAGACAATCTGAAGAACAGGAACAGTGTGTAACAGACAAGAGCATACTGTGAATAAATGTGTAGCTGCATGTCAAAGGGATTACTGGAAGATCGAAGTACGTGTTTGCGGTGAGCTTCCAAATTATTGCCAAACTGTGGAAGAGGAAGTGTCAAAGTATTAATTTGCTGACCACAAAAAGAAGAAAGAGGAAGGAGCGGGCAAAAATGACGACAATTTTTTGTCATGTAAAGAAAGTGAAAGTACCAAACCTCCAGATAAAGTTGATGCAATAGCTACACAAATTCTATTTTAATTTTAAGCAAAATTCAGTGTACTTGGGCGAATTCACGAAGGGACAGGGCAGCTTTTGTGGCCGCTAAACCTGCGCAAATAAGACAAAAAGAAACGGTGTAATTCTCAAAGCATCTGCAAAAGTTAAAACGCACTGTTACTGTGCTGCCAAGCAAATAACCTCTAACGTCTAAGATCAGCACTTACTGCCATGCGCCGTTGCAATGAAATTATTAGCTTCTTCAGAGGGTTGGTGGCAGTGTCTTAAGTTAACTTTTTTCCACTGCCTGCCACTGTGGTAGGAAAGTATATTTTTTTGTCTGTCACCAAGACATTTTTTCTGCTCCTTTTGAAATCTATACACTAAATGAAGCAATAGCATTTAGATCACTCAGACATAATTTAATGCAAACAATGCTGTCATTCAATGTTTGATATATTCAGATGCATAGTAAATTCACAATATTTGAATTACACTGTGGCTTTCAGGGAAGCACTGTTTCACAGGGGTCAAAGAGGAACGTACACATGCACATGCGTTCATGAATGCACCTGAGAAGAAAAATTCACAGTTGCAACATTTTTTTAAATTGATGATTATTGGTTAGGATTCTGTAAACTTCAACTGTCAGTCAACACGAATAAGGTTCTACGGCCAACAGAGAATAGACGATGATGTCACAGCGCATTTTATTCTGGGGAGTAGTAGCCAGCGGTAAGGCAATTTTAACAAGCTACTGAATGTCACATTTCCGGAGGTGTTTTCCCGACCTCATTTGTGGTTTGAGTGCCAACACATTCGAGCAGTTCCGAAATTATAAATCTCTCAAGGCCTACCTTAAGTTCACAAATGGGTGTATGACCTGCAGATTTACAAACATTTTTTCCCATGGCCAACACTGCATCACAATTAGTCATTACAGTTTGTTTTTCACTTGGGTCACATTGTGATTAAATTGGTTACTTACTGTGCTTTCCAGCTAAAGCAGCTGTTGCAGTGGTGTTGTTGTTGGTCTTTGGACACTGTTTGGGACTAGTTTCCCTCATGGCGATTAAGGTTAGCTGTAAATGTGGAGGCTATTTGGATTTTTTTTCTAAACCAGTCAATGTTATTTATGTCTTATGCACTCTCATTGCCTTAATGAACCTCCAACCCATTGGTGATGCTCAGCTCCAGTGGTTAAGTGGAGTGTGCACAGTGTCTTCTGTGAGCTGGAAAGCTACTCGTTCTCCATCAGCGATCCGTTTCCCACACTGGTCGTGAGAACGGTTATGCAGCAAATGTTCACCATTTCACCGTGTTACCAAGCTGGATCTCGCAGTCGTCCACAGATAGTTTGTCTGTAATGTAGCTTCTGCATCCTAAAATCCCACAATGCTTTGTGTTGCTCACTATCGCTTACGCCACGATACTATTCTGTACAGCACTGCTTACAGCTCCATGCAGCAATTGTGGGTGACTTTAAAATGTGTAGCTCTATCCAATCATACGCTAACCTTCCTGAACGTGTCCTTCTGTTGCGCGTTTTCCATGTCCATGTCTTTTGTGAATCAGAGACGGGTCAGTTAGCAGCAGTGTTGCATAATTTATGGTGCTATCTTTATGAATTCGCCCCAATGTGTAAAAATGTGGTGTTCTTTCATCAGCATTCAAACTGAGCTTTTCAAAAGATTACCACAGGAACTGCTGTGGCAGAGTACGACATTGGGTTCAGAGTAAACCAGATTTTTTTTACTGCTATGTTATGATCTGAGTCTGTCGCAGAAGTGGACAACAGTGATGAAGAAACCAACGTCTGTCTTTAACCACAGTACTGGTTAATACTGTGATTTGGGCATGTGACAATGGTGTCATGGTCTAAGACGCAGACCACGTTGGGAATATGTGGTGTTTTTTGTTGTTTGAAATTCTATTAAAACAACAAAAAACACCACATATTCCCAACGTGGTCACATAAAGTCAAGTGGCACAAAAAAACAAAAACAGTTACTTGAGTTTGCTTCCACTCACCGATGATGAAGTCCACGAAGCTTGCAGCTTTCAGTCAACATCATGGTCACCTGCACCTCAGACGCATGATCTGAACAATTTCAACAGACACAAAATCGGATTAAAAATTAAGCAGAACTAGAGTAAAGTTGAAAAGTTAAGGATATCATTTCTGTGCTCTCAGACAACATGTACTGTTTGATTTTTATTTGTTTCCCCCACAGATTTCCGTGCCAACAGTCAACTGTAGTGGGAAACTTCAGAGGAAAACTGACTTGTGCCAAGCTCACTGAGGTCCAGTTTTTAATCAGTGTATGCAGCTTTGCCATCGTCTGGTACTTATGGAAGTAGTATTGTTCTTTTCCCAAAAGGCCCATGAGGAGGAAGTAAAGAGTTTAACAAAGCCAAGACTGGCATGGGGTTATTGTTCACTGAGTGGTATCCACCCCTCCCTGAGTAAACATAAGAGAATGGAGAGGTCAGAAGGCAGCTGGCAGAGAGAGCTGACACATGCCGCTAACAAAGAACCTGACAGTCCTGTATAAAAGTCTTTTCACTGGCATGCAAACCGTGCAGCATGAGTAAGAAATATAATTCATTAGCTGTCAAATCGGTGTGCGTGTTTACTGGGTAGCTACGTATGTTTCAGTTGATTCGTCATTCGTTTTACGTCTTTACAATCTTGTTTTGGCATTTCAGCGATTGCTCATTAGAAAACCCACAGTGAGCTGCACATCAATGAGAGGGAGGAAAACTTACAACACACATGACTTGACAATTTGACAAATGTGCATTCAGCTGTGCATTGCAGCCAGGACGGAGCACGTACCTTTCACTGTCTTCACAAAGACCTGCTTCTCCTTACTGGGGTCCTTTTCGTCCAGCAGCACGCCGTGAAAGATGCGGCCAAATGTGCCTGTCAAAGACAAACCACAGGTTTTTTATTTGAAGGGAAAGGGCAGGAGAGACACAGCCAGAGGCACCACATACAAAGATCGAAATGTCACCTCGCTCACAGGTCGCCACGCCTGGCTGATCTGTGGACAGAGGTGGACAGGCTTCTGCTTAAAATGCTTTGTCTCTTAAAAGGATTAGGCAGCTTTGGCTCTCGTCTCACTGACGAGCGCCAAAACAAGAGCGATTCACTGGAGCTCAGAGGACCTTTCATCACTTAACGATTCAGAAATACATATGACGTGGAAAGGCCAAGTGAGCACGTTCATCATCTCCTTTGTCTAAACTGTCACCCCATTGCTCCAGGACTTTACGGAGGTAAAATGCCATTTAAGAACATAAACCATCAACATAAACTGAGAGAAAAGATCTGAGCCCTGAGGCTAACTGTGCCCTGTGTTTCAACAGGAGAAGAGACGAAGCATAACAACAGGGTTAGTGTTTAACTGTCTCCCTCCCACCCCTGCCTTCTCCGTCAAGCCTGTCTGGACCTGCCGGCTCCCAAAAACAAGAACCCCACTCAGAGTTCAACCACCTCTGAGACATGGAGGTGCATGTCTTTTATTTGTCGTTTCTTAGTTGTTATCTCTAGTGTTTTTGATATTTAATTATTCATTCATGGCATTTTGTATGAAGGATCTGATGTGTGTGGATACATGACTGCACTGGCAAGTCAGGAAGTTGGATAGATACTCAAGTACAGATAATTTGCTGGCGTGTTTCCTTGCAGATGGCCGTGGAGGATCCTGATAATTTAGTTGCGGTAATTTAAACCTTACAGCTAACTTTAACTACCTAGAATCAATATTTAAACCAGGGAGGGTCTGGACTGAAACCTGACCTTAAAACCACTGCGATAAAAAGACTCATAAATCTAAAAAAGACTAACTAACCACCACTGTGGAAAGAGCAATATCAAAATGATAATGAAAGTTTCCAGCTGCTTTATTGCACAAGAAAAAATAACATGCTGATCTCTCTAGAGCGGATATATGTATCATTCAGCCTCAACAACATGTTTGATCACCACACCCATTTAAAGTACAATTAGTCACTAGTAAAGTTAGTCACGTCCGACACAAACAAGATAAAGAAAGGATTCAGTGGAAGAGCAAGTTATCAACAAGACCGCAAATCTTAAATGGAACAAAAGTTGTGAAAGGATGTAGAGTTCAACACTAAAAGAAGACATATTTTGCTGACAGTTGCCTAAATGTCGTTAACAAGCCAAGTGTAGCCAAGTGAGATCAGAGCCAGCTTAACAAGACTTAAGGCCCAATTCCTGTATGCTAACAGTAGCAACCACTGCTCCTTCCCTGCCAGTCTGCACTAACACAGAGTGCTCCAGGGATCATGTCTTTCTGTAGGCTGACGCAGAAGTGACCGTTGCACTAGTTCCCTTGTCAAAAAGCCGATGGAATTTTTGCATTAGATTCTGGATTACTGTAGAAAATAAGCTCTGCTGCAAACAAACGTTTATGAAACTTACACATTTTGTTTAGCGAAATACTCAAAAATGAACACCACCTTTACGATTTTCGAAGCTTAACCCTATGGGCCCTAGGCGTTTTTGGGGTATTTTTACTGCCTTTACTTTTAAGCTCATATCACAGTCATTATAAAGGCTACATACACATGCTGTATCTTGTTTTTTCAGGACAATGTGGGCTATCCAGATTTGCCATCATTTCATGTCCTCCTATGTGCCTGTATTTATATTAATTTTTATATCAATGAAAAAAAACAAATCTGTGTGACTAAATTCTTACATTTTTACATGTATCTCACCATAGCAAGTTGGAAGTTGACATATTCTGCCATATATGAAGAGGGGAGACTCTCTGGAATCTGGCAATATAAGAACCATGATGCTGGGACATTCTGTCACCTCACAGCTGTCCAAAACATGTGGTTTGTGCCAGGCGGACAGGATTACCAGTATTTTTTCATTATTGCAAGAAATTCCATTGACTCATTCACAAGTCAAAAATGTGTTTTATCTGAAAGAAGCATGCAATATTTACATCTAAGATCATAGAAAAATAGTCAACCAAGTGCAATGATGTCCTCCAAGATAATATTTGCCACTTTGATTGCAGTAAACAAAGTTTATTGTTGTTTTTCAGTTTCAGTTATATATTGGGGGGG